ACGTTAAAGCACCAGGCACATTAAAAACCCTAAGCAAAAAGGTGCCCTGTGGTGTTGCCATGGCGACGTTAAAGCGCCAGACACATTAAAAACCCTAAGCAAAAAGGTGCCCGGTGTTGTTGCCATGTTGACGTTAAAGCGCCAGGCTTTTTAACAACCCTTAGGAAAACAGTGCCAGGTGGTGTTGCCATGGTGACGTTAAAGCGTCAAGCTCATTAAAAACCCTAAACAAATAAATTCTAAAAGAGTCAAATTAAAAGAAAACTTGTCATTGAGCTCTAAAAGATGTTGCCAACTTACACACAATAAGAATTTTTACACGATAAGAATTTATTAAAAAAAATATTGATCTCATTTGGTATTCAATTTATTAAAAGAAGAAGGTATTTTCTTGTTATTTTTATGCTAGAATTAAAAATATATGTACAACTGTCTAAAACCTAAGAGACTGATTGTTTTTGTGCATATACATTGTGACGAATCGAAGAAAATGCACCGTAAAACACAATGTGCGCCACTGATCTTTTCACAGTTACTAATGTGCATGCCCAAAGGCAGTACTTCTCAACGTTATGAGATCTCAATACAATATAATGAACAAAAATATAAACACAACACTTTTGTTTTTGCTCCCATTTCTCGTGAGCTGAACTCAAAGATCGAAGACGTTTTCTACGTGCACAACAGACCTTTTTATCTAAAATATTGTTCACAGATTTGTGTAAATCTGTGTTAGTGAGCACTTCTCCTTTGCTGAGATAATCCATCCACCTCACATGTGCTTCATATCAAGATGCTGATTAGACAGCAGGATTATTGCACAGGTAGGCTGACCACAATTATAAATTGTGCAGTTCTAGTATATTGGGGGATTCTGGTGGGTCCAGAAAAACAGTCTGGTGTGACCTTGATTTGCCTCACGCAGTGCATCATATCTCCTTTACTGAGTTGATCAGGTTGTTGATTGTAGCCTGTGAAATGTTGGTCCAATCCTCTTCAGTGGCTGTAAAGTTGCAGGATATTATCAAGAACTGGAACACACTGTCGTATACACCGGTCCAGAGCATCCCAAACATGCTCAGTGAGTGTGCTGGCCCTGCAAGAACTGGGATGTCTTCAGGTTCCAGGAACTGTGCACCGATTGTTGCAACATGGGGCCGTTCATTATCATGCAGCAACGTGAGGTGACGGTCGTGGATGAATGGCACAACGATGGGTCTCAGGATCTCGTCACGGGTACATCTGTGCATTCAAAATGCCATCAATAAAATGCGCCTGTGTTCGTTGTCCATAGCACGTGCCTGCCCATACCATAACCCCATCGCCACCATGGGCCACTTGATTCACAACGTTGACATGAGTAGACCGTTCACTCCCATGACTCCATACACACAGTCTGCCATTGGCCCTACAGTGAAACTGGGATTCATCCGGGAAGAGAACACCTCTCCATCAGACCATACACCATCAAATGTGAGCTCCACTCAAGTTGTTCACAACAACAAACTGCAGTCAGGCGGACACCCCAATGAGGACGACGAGCGTGCAGACGAGCTTCCCCGAGAAGCTTCTGACGGTTCACGCAGAAGTTCTTTGGTTACGCAAAGCGATGGTTGCAGCAGCTGTCCAGGAGGCTGGTCTCAGACGATCTAGGAGGTGAAGATGCTGGATGTGGAGGTCCTGGGCTGGTGTGGTTACACCTGCTCTGTGGATGTGAGGCCAGTGGATGTACTGCCAAATTCTCTGAAACATCTTTGGAGACGGATGACCTGACTGAACATTGTTGGATTGTATACCTGGATTATTGAGCATGGACTTTGCTGATCTTTGGAGACGGCTTATAGCGGAGAAATGAATGTTCACGCCATGGGCAACAGCTCTGCTGGACATTCCTGCAGTCAGTATGCCAACTGCACGCTCCCCCAAAAATGGTGTGTTAAAACTGCACATTTTAGAGTGGCCTTTTATTGTGGTCAGCCTACCTGTGCAATAATCATGCTGTCTAATCAGCATCTTGTGGGGTGGATGGATTATCTCAGCAAAGGAGGAGCGCTCACTCACAGATTTACACAAATGTGTGAACAACATTTGAAAGAAAAAGGCTTCTTGTGTACAAAGAAAAAAAAATAGATGTTCAGCTCATGAAATAGGAGCAAAAACAAAAGTGTTGCGTTTATACTTTTGTTCAGTATTGTTTCAAACGTTCTGACACCAAAGCTACCTTAGTCTAATTGTTGATGAATATTTCTTAACTTTGAAAAAAAAAACAACTAAGATATATTATTTACTTTCTAGAAAATGTGTCTGCGTGAAAGACAAAGAGTAACTTCTTGTAGATCAAATCTAAAAATGTAATCGAATTGAAGTTTTGTAAGTTAAATGCTACGTGACTGGCAGTAGCTAACTTCTCTTATAAACAGATATTAGCTTTAATAGTGTGAATGTTTATGAAGCATTCACACTGTTGTGATCCGGTTTTCTTCCGTACACGTTTAGGCGCGATTCTCGTCCTCGAGTTTTCAAGCTATTTCAACAAATCATGAATCAAAACGTTCGGCTCGTTCAGGACAATTCTGCTGTGACTTTTGGTGCAACTTTAGCTTTTTGAAATATTTAGTCTTTTCTGCCACTTTTTTTTCCCATATAATTTTTTTAGCCGCTTTTCAGCTGTTTGTAACTAATTTCAGCCTTTCATGATAATTTCCACCTTTTTGTGCTCATTTATGCTTCTTTCAGCAAACACGTGTTCTGTTTGCTTTTTTCTGACAATTTAAGCTTGTTGTGCCTGTTCAGCTATTTTTTACATTTTTAAGCTAATTTCAGCTGTTTTCAGATAAATTCAAGTTTTTCGTGCTAGTTTCTACTTTCAGCCTAATTAACGTCTTCCTGCAAATTTCAGCTTATTATGCTCCTTTCAGCTTTTTTTCTGATGTTTTGTGCAAAATTTAGCTTTTTCAGCTAATTCCACTTTTTTTTTTTTTTTTGCTTATTTCAGCACCTTCCACTTCTTTCTGTTAGTTTAGGCATCGTTATGCCTTTTTAGCTACTTTTCAGCTATTTTTTGCTCATTTCAGTTTTTTTTAACCTACAAGTACTTTCCTGTTTTTTGGGGCTCATTTCTGCTTATTTAAACCTACCGTATTTTTCGGCCTATAAGGCGCACCAGATTAAGTGGTGTAATATTAATGAATGGTAGGGATGCACAATATTATCGGCATTGTATCGGTATTGGCCGATATTAGCAATAAAGTTCAATATCAGCCATTGGCCATTCCATCAAAATAACTCACCAATATAAAAGGCACTGTTTATATATATATATATATATATATATATATATATATATATATGTGTGTGTGTGTGTGTGTGTGTATATTTATAGTGTTACATCATTTTCAGCCCCCTTTTTGGCATCTTCATTTGGTAGCAGGCCAAACTGACAAAGCCCATGCAGAATATTGTAGTATTTTAATTTCACAGCAGAGAAAGCTATGTAGTCTCTGTAAGTAGGTCTAGGAAAAAAAATATATCGGTACTGATATCGGTTATCGGCCAAATAAATTTTAACATATCTGCATATCGGATATCAGCCAAAAATCCAATATCGTGCATCCCTAATGAATGGGTCTGTTTTCATACATAAGGCGCATTAAGCGAAACTAAAACATTTTGATCGATTTTTGAGCGCCATGTACCACATAAAATCGGTTCGAGGTCAGTAAGCACAACCAGAATTAATACATAAGGCTCACTGTTGATTTTTGAGAAAATGAAAGGATTTTAAATGTGCCTTATAGTCCGAAAAATACGGTAAATCAGAAAACGTGTTCTTTCTGCTTTCTTTTGCTAACTTAGCCTTGTTCTTCCATTTCAACATGTTTTTAAGTAATTTCAGCTGTTTTTCATCAATAAGCATTCACACTGCATTTTCACAGGAAATGTAATTTCTCTACTTACTGCAGTCATAGTAAATAAGTATGTAGTTTTAAGTTTACTATGAATCGAATTGAAAACACTTTTTTCCAGCTGTTTTTTTCTTATCGTTTTGTCTTGTTTGTCTACACATCTGGCCACAGCAGGTAGACTATACACACTGTTGTGATTTTGAAGAGAGCAGCTCCCAGATTGCCTCTCTTCCTGGAAAATGAAACACTCTCTCCTTTTTCATTTAATTTTTTTTTTTTTACAAAGTTGCTTTGGATGCAAATAAAACTTGGACCAGACTTCCTCCAAAAGGGCTGGCGATATGAATAATCCATAGTATGCAAGCCAAGAGAACATCACCTCCCTCCGTGTTGTCTTTTATTTCTCCTCTGCTTCTCCTAAGATCTTAAAAATCGTTCTGATCCTCTTTTTGTCTCGTTCCTCTCTCCTTGTCCTTCCAGTTGTTTCAGGCTTCCGTGCAGAAAGCCCAGACGAGTGTGCCAGAATGGATTTTACTACAGCTACCAGGTCTGTCAGTGCATCCCCAACTACATGAAGTGGAATTAAGGAGCGGGAAAACCAGCGAGGGGACAAGACGCTGCCATGCTTTGACCTTTGACCTCAAGCTTCTACCGCTGAACTGACGGGAAAAAAAATCAGTGGGACTGACTGGAAGGAAGAGGGTCTATGTTTATATGTGATGGGAGCTCGTAACAAGCTTGAGGGAATTTTAAGCCATCAGTTATGTCATCCTTCCAGGGAAACATCGCAAAGGATGTTCTGAGAACTTCCACATAAATAATGCTGCACACAGCCAGTAAAACTCTTCAGAATGGGAGGAAATGAGGAGATTTATTGACTTGGGGACTGTCCCTTTATGTCTGCCTTATTTCTTTTCTTAAGAACACAATCCCGTCACGAAACCGCATTGAGATCGCTTGTATTGTACAAACAGAACGAGGCAGGACGGACGGATTCTGTGCGAGACGGGCGTTCATCCCGCCGCAACGTGTCGCAGCAAGAAGAATGCCAACCGCCGAGCTGCTGCTCGTGCCTGTGAGAAATGGAATGTGAAACGACATAATGATGGACCATACACTGAGCTTTTCCCAAAAAAAAAAAATACATAAAATAATCTTCAGGTCAATTTATCAAATCAAAGGTGTTGGAAAAAATCCATAAATTAAAGACTTTGTGCATAAATCAATTAAGCCGATGTCGCCGAAACTGGTTTGGTTTCCCAACGCATCGAGGTTATCATCAGAAATCAAACCTAAATATCTTGTTTTATACGTTTAGTTGTTCTGATTTCATCTGACATCGCTCAATCCAAGCAGAACTGTACGCTACTAATTTATCTTTACATACTCCAAATGTTTTTTTTTATATATTTAATTTTTTTTTTTTTTTTGTATTTAAAGCAGTAAAAGTGTGAAGACTGAATTGTAAAATACTGTATTTAAAGCCACAGTAACTAGAGATCAACTATATAGTTTTGAAGTGAAACAATCCACTTTTATTTTTTTTTACTTTGAATTATGAGATTTCCTGCACTGCTGCTTATACTTTCAAAAAGACCACCTAAATCAGGACTATTCAACTAAATTGCTCAGGGGCCCACAGTTACTGAAAGCCAAGAGCTCAGGGGCCAGACATCCAGCAATTATTGTCATTAAATAAGTTTATTTTATGGTTTAAAATCTAGTTTTATTTAAAAATCAACCCATTGGTGGGCTGAACTGAGCTCACCAGTGGGCCTGATTAGGCTCCTGGGCCGCCAGTTGAATACCCCTGACCTAAATGTGTTTAAGTAGAGATGCACGATATTATCGTCATGGTATCGGTATCGGACGATATTAGCGATAAAGTTAAATATCGGACATTCCAAGAAAATAACTCACCAGTATAAAAGGTGCTGTTTATATATATATATATATATATATGCAAGATGGTGTTTTTGTATGACAACCTAGTGACAGGGATGTCTGCAGCATTATGACGTCACACGCGCCATTGAGTGTAGATTTGTGAAAATTTACAAGTTTGCACTGTTCGAGTGTTGCCATTGTGTTAGAGAGAGTAAATATCATGAATAAATTTGACATTAAACATAATCCAAGTTGAAGTGTTACATCATTTTCAGTCCCCTTTTTTGGCATCTGCATTTGCTAGCAGGCCAAATTGACAAAGACCATGCAGAATAATGTAGTATTTTAATCCCACATCAGAGAAAGCTGTGTAGTCTCTGTAAGTAGGTGTAGGGAAAAATATTGGTATTGGTATCGTTTATCGGCCAAATATGTTTTAACATATCGGCATATCGGCATATCGGATATTGGCCAAAAATCTAATATCGTGCATCCCTACTTTTCAGGAATTGTTTTATGTGTCAAGATAATACTAACTGATGAGATGAAGAGCCATTGCAGTGCAGATGTTATTGCTGTAGGGATTTAGAACAAAAAAAAAACATTTAGGTATTGATTAAAAGCTTATTTCTGACATGTTGGTGGCACTGTTTTGTATAGGTTGTAAATAAGGAATAAGCAAATCAATTAAAAAAAATTTTTTTTCAAATTGTCTACCAAAAGTTTCAATTAAAACCAAGTTTTTAAGTTGGTATTGTGAAATAGCACATCATTGTGTTGCAATGGGTAGGCTGTGGGTAAAAACCTCTGGTTTCCCGTTTCTTCCTCTCCAGGTCTGCCACAAACACTACTGACCCAAATTTCTAAACAGTTGGACTTTCAGTTTGACCTTTGTGACCTCTGCCTTTTAAAGCATCTCAGCCAAGGCTGTGGGAAGTATGGGTGTGTCGGGTGCTGCAGCATAAAAATATATAAACATATTTTTTTAGCGATACTTGTTTAAATGTTAACTCTTTGATAAGGAGATCTGCAAATCTGGACCATACCAGTAAAAGGTGTTGTATATCTGAATACAAAAACTTTACAACTGCTTCAATCCCTCAAGAACAAAAAATAAAAAGGGCAGACTAACATCAAAGTTCAATAATCCAGGTAGAAAATCCAACAAAGTTCAGTCAGGTTAGCTGGATGGTTTCTGGTTTTGTTGTTGAGAACTTTCGCCCTTCATCCAAAGGACTTCATCAGTCCGAGGAACCACAACAAACTTAGTCCCACAAGCAGCAAACTCACATAGTAGGCCAACCAGTTTGCTGGTGATAAGATGGTTTCTGGGGCCCACCCTCTCCCCCACTGACTCCTCTGAGGCAGCCATAGCCAAAGTGGTTCAAAACATCAAAGTTCATGCACAATAATCCAGGTTGAAAATTCAATAATGTTCTGTCAGGTCATCTGGACGTTTTTTTTTTTGTTGTTGTTTTGATGAGACGTTTTGTCCTTCATCTAAAGGACTTCATCAGCCGAGGAGCGACAATAGAGGAGTCGATGGTGGAGAAGGCGGGTTCCAGATGCCATCTTACCACCAGCAAACTGGTTGGTCCAGTATGTTGGTGTGTTTCTTGTGGGACTAAGTTTGTTGTGGCTCCTCGGACTGATGAAGTCCTTTGGATGAAGGATGAAACATCTCAAAAACAACAAAAAAAGAAACCGTCCAGATGACCTGACTGAACATTGTTGGAGGGCAGATTAACATTAAGTCATATTTCTTTAAGCATTGTTGATCCAAAGACAGCCCCCTTCATAAGAATTGGAACAGCAGGGTAAATTCCTTTGTATTTGTTGTTCCCTGAAGACGTATGGGTTTCAGATCAAAAGATGAGTACGAGACAAGTGTTCCGAATTTCAAAAGTTCTGAATTTCAGCTTTTATTTCCTAGTTTTATGTTTAGATGTGTTAAACAACTCAGAACATAGGACCGTTTGTATTAGACCATAGCATTTGTAGGTGAGCAAAAGTCAAAGAAACAAATAATCTCCAACATTTAATATTTGGTGGCATGACCCTTGCACAAACTGCGTCAAGCCTGAGACCCATCAACATCAAACTGCTGCATTCTTCATTTGTGATGCTAGATAGGGACCAGAAAGTTGCAGTTCGACCCCCTGGTATGCCCACATGTCGTGGTGTCCCTGATCTTTAATTGCACCCTATGTAGCTGCCCACTGCTCCACCTGGGTGTATCTCACGTGTGATGGGTTAAATGCAGAGAAGCAGTTTCGTCATTGGGAAATTGTATATACATTTACAAGACAGTGGTGAGACCAGCTATGGTGTATGGTCTGGAGACAGTGGCATTGACAAAAAGACAGGAGCAAGAACTGGAAACGGCAGAAATGAAGATGTTGAGGTTCTTCTTAGGAGTGACAAGGATGGATAAGATTAGGAATGAGGTAGAGTACAGGTTGAACAACTGGGAGATAAAGTTAGAGAGACCAGACTGAGATGGTTTGGACATGTCCAGAGGAGGGACAGTGGATATATTGGTAGAAGGATGTTAGAGATGCTGCTGCCAGGAAAAAGACAAAGAGGAGATATATGGATGCAGTTAGAGAGGACATGGAGGTAGTTGGAGTGAGGACAGAGATGGGGGAAGACAACTCGCTGTGGCGACCCCTGAAGAGGGAAAAGCCGAAAGAAGAAGAAGAAGGATGGTGACAACATACAGCACTGATTTTACCAGAGCTTCTTTCAGTTCTTGCTTGATTCAGGGGTTTCTCCATTCATTTTCCTCTTCAGGAGGTGTAGTCCACATTTTTGTAGTGGGTATACTGTGCTTAGAAACCCAAGTACACCGGTTAGTACACTGTAATCGTTCATTTATTTAGATTTTTAAGGCGTATTGAGCATTTCAAAATGAGTCTGATGCTTATATTTGAATACAAATGTACAACAAACGTTGTACAACAGTTGGCTTTGTATTAAAAACATGTTATAGAAGTTATAAAATTCAAATTCAATTCAATTCAAAAATACTTTATTAATCCCAAAGCGAAATTGTTTGTTGTTGTAACTCGTTATCCTCATTTCATTAAGAGATGTTGTAGATGCTGATGGCTGTAGGCAGGAAGGATCTCTTGTGAAGGTCCATCCCACAGTGGATCCTAAGAAACTGGCTGCAGATGCTGTCCGATCCGTCCACCCAGACTCGGCTGGCCTCTCAGTTCCCCGGGCTGTAGGACCACCCGAATGCCGGGCAGAAATCCTCCCAGAGCGATGGTCACTCCTCCCAGCAGCTGCTGAGCTTCTCGTCGCTGCGGACAGCCGGCTGTAGGTGACGAGGGACGATCCTGTCCTTCCACTGTCACGAGCCGTGTTTCCTGCTAGTTCCAGGATCTCAGTGGTCAGGCACTCGAGCACAGCTGGCAGGTAGATGAGGATGCGTCCGCGGAGCCTCCTTTTCAACTCATTTGAGATTTGGGGCTGTAGTTGAGATATTATTTGAGCTTTTGAGATGTTAATCAGCTGCTGTTGGTTGTAGAAAACTGCCTTGTTGCCATGGTTACGCATCATAACAAATGTCCAATACTAAAAAAGTTTCAGTAAAAATCCTTCCAGCTGCACAGCATCTGATACCAGAGGAAACAATCATCCAAAAAATGTGACTTGCATCGAGAAAAAGAGGAATAAAATTTTCCAAAAGCAAATCTCAGAATGAAAGTAACAGAGTTGCTCCAACATGCAGCCACCT